GCTTCTTAAGTTTAAGATTTGGTACTTCTAAAAATTCAAATTGTACACTATAAAAGGCTTCCATGATTATTCCTATTCAATTCATAGGACGTAATGAACAAAAGTAAGATGGTAGATAATTGACGTGTCTGAGAAATCGAAATAAACACATCACCGAAAATACAGTACAAATTACGCGCATCTTATTAAGCTGGGTTTCCACTTCAAAAAACGGCTTTAAAAAACTTGGAAGATACGAAAAAATATTTATTTTCTAATTTTTTTGCATTTATAGATAAGAAATACAAAAAGGTGATACAGGTAATATCCAAAATTACTCTTATGTAACACCAACCAAAAAAGAAATAACAAAAAAACTAGTTAAAATAGTGTGCAATGGTGATGAACATTGTACTTTTTTAAATTTGATTTGAACAAAGTAAACAATATAATCAGGTAGAGAATTCCTTATCTTGATAATTCTTTCACAGTAGAAAAACCTTCGTGTTATTTTTACATTTAATAGGTGAATAAAGTTTTTGTGTATGACATTTTGTAGGATAGCAAGAAGAAGCAAATGTAAAAAACTTAGAAAAAGGTAGATCGACAAGGTTGTGTATAATTTTATGTCATTACAAGATCAAGGAATTCTAGATTAAAGATGTTGAGTCTTGAAGAATAATTTTTATAAGGAATATGACATCTTTTACAGACACTTCTAGTAAAAGCATTCTGAAACTTCTCCAACCAGCGTATATCTTTTAAAAGATGGGGACTCCACACACATTCCAGGTACAAAATACAACTATATCAATATCTTGAATTGAATTAATAGATTCAATAGGTGTACCAATGTTCATTGAATATGAATTTAATGGTAAAGAACTGTTTCCATAGCGTAGATGAAAGCATTTTTTGGTTGCTAAATTAAGTTGCCTAACTTTTGACTATTCTGAAAAAACTTTTAAGGTATTGATGAGTTTTATATTGTTTCCATTATTTCTTGCTTGATATAACTTGCTGTCATCAACAAACGACTTAATGCAGCAATCACCATCAATACATAAAGTTACATTATTTATAAAAACTAAAGATAAGATGGATCTCAAAACAGCCCCTTGAAGTATTTCACTCTTTACAAGAATATTTTTTGAATATGAGTTACCAATGCAAACACATTGAGAACGATTTATTAAAAAATTGGTAATTCAGTTTAGCAATTCATACTGGATACCATAACAATGCATTTTGAACAGTAACTTAGATTGAGTCACAGAATCAAAGGCTTTCTCAAAGTCAATATATACAATATCAACAACCTTTGTTATTAGCAGCAGTGGTCCACTCATTTAAGGTTGTCAACATCCGTGTACAGGTGGACCTACGCTTTAAAATGTCAAATCGGTGAGCATTAATAAGGTTATTAATTAGTAAACAGTTTGTAATGCATTCTGCAATTATTGACTCCATAACCTTACAAACAATGCACGTCATAGAAATAGGTCTATAGTTTGTGGTTAATGACGGGTTTCCTTTTTTATAGACGGTGCACATTATAGCGGTTTTCCAGATCAAAGGTATGGCATTTTTTGACATTGACAACGCATGGAAAAAGGAATAGTAATAACATTTGCGACTGATCCTAGAAGTATTGCTGGGTATCCACCAGGTGATTTGGAGGACTTTGGTGGAAGGTTTTGTAGGGATGAAACTACAGAGCTGTATGGAAACATTACATTATTTAAAGAGTTTGAGTGTGTTAACAAATCTAAGACAGGTGCAATACCATTATCCGTGATAAAAACAGAACTGAAAAAATTGTTTAAAAGATTTGATTTTTTATAACCATTTATGCTAAGAGAACCATTGGTTCTCTTAGCATATGGTTGTAATAGTGGTGCAACAGAACTACAGCATTTGGTTTTTTCTTTTACAAAAGAATTAAACTGGGTACTATTAGCTTTATTGACTAAATCTTTTTCTCTGAAAACACAATATTTATTTATTTCTGCATCGTATAAACGAGAACAAATCTTATATTTGATATGAGTAGATGTATTACCAGTTCTTTTGTATTCTGTATAAAGAATTCGTTTTTTAGAGGCCATTTTACAAATGGCTAGAAGTTAGAAGTTCTTATTTCTTTTGCAATGTACTGGAACATGTGCGGAAATAGATGAGTTTAAATATTTACAAATAATTGGCCAGAATACTTCAACATCTTGATTTTGCTTGGCAAGCATATACCAGTTTATATTTTGTAAATCTGATTGCATGGCGTTGTCCATTACCTTTTTAAAAATCACCTTTTTAAAAATTGTATATAATTGATTTTTTACATTTAGATTTCTTCAAATTACAATCGAAAATGATCATACAGTGATCGCAAGTGCTTGTAAATGGGGCTATAGCTTCTACATTAAAAACATTTTTTGAGTTATTGGTTAGTATTAGATCTTGGGGGTTATTATGAGATTATTATCAGATGAACAAAAAAAATAGGTCATGGGACGAATCTTTGAAACTAATTGAAATTGACCAGTTTATGAGTGGTAGGTTAAAGTCACCTGCATTGATACATGTAGAGTTGCACTTGGAAGTAATTTTATAAATTAACTTACTCAAAGCTTTACTTCTTAAAATACTGGTGGCAGTACATGGAGGGTGATAAACACATAGAAGACGAATTTTTTGGTCAATGGATGAGACAAAAATATCAAAACATGTAATTTCGGTATTTTGTAGATCTTCTTGTATTTCAAGATTATATTGAACTGAGTGGATATTATATTTAACTAGTATAGGTGAACTACCGCCTTTAGTGTTTCGGTCATGTCGAAAAACTTTAAAAAATTTTCCATTTAATAATAATGACTCAGGTGTTTTTTTATTTAGCCAAGTTTCGGTTATGAGTATGATGTCAAAATTGTTGTTTTCAAGAAGATTGTGTAAGTGATGTAGTTTATTGTTTATTGATCTAGCATTGAAGTAAGCACATTTGATGGTTTTAAAAGGTTGGTTTTGTAAGATGGTTGGTAAACAATTTGTGTTGGTGTTAAAGTTGTGCTGGATATCAGTCATTAACTGAACTGATAAATTTAAATTTTAAACAGTTTTATTTAACAGATAATTCATATCGTAGTTAAAATGGAGAGGAAAAAACAGTTTTTTCATAGCGTAAATGAACAGGTTTTTGAGGAAAATAGTTTCAAGGGAATAAAAAGTATTTGACGGGAAAGGGATAAAAGTTGAGTACTTGGAAATGCTCAAACTAGCGAATATTTACAGAACTTTTAGTAGAAGAAATGTACAAAAAGGCTAAAAATACTGGAATGTAGTCAAGTGGAATAAGTTTTGATTATTGCCTATCAACAAAGTTATCTTCTCTCATTTATTATGTATTTATACTAACTCTAAGCAATGATACAAGGTCGGTACTTAGTCTAACGATGTTTGAACTTAGATAAACAAGGCAGAAAGTTTATCTTGGTCTTTTGTCCTACTAATTACAGAATAGATTGATTCTCGCGTTTTTTTAGATTAAAAAATTTTGGGTTTAAGTTATCATGCTTATGTAAAATGAGGTTGTTTAGGGAAAAAAAATGCAGTGATTGGAGACTGTGAACAAGAACACCCCAAAAAATCATACCCCGCTAACCCTTTAGCGTGGTAATGTATTAATAAAAAACTTAAACTTACAATCTTAAACTAAATTTAAATTTATCGACAGGTTTGTCAAGTTCAAAACCTCCTTGTTGTGAGGGGTTGGAAAATTTGCATGGTTATAATTTTCGAACATTAATAGATGATTAAGTAAAAATTTAAAAACTCTTGATGAATTTAGAGTAAAATGATAAATTAAAATATTTTTAAACTCGTTTCCCTCACATCAGAGTTTGAGAGGTACACATTTTGAGTTATTTTTGTTGCCAAGCTTCTATCACCGCAATTATTTTCAAAGCATCCTTATTTAACATAAGCATGAACATACTTAAATTTGTAGTTTTCTCAACGGAAGTATTATATCTGAAACATTAATAGATCCTGAATCCGCCACTGCCTTAAATGTCAAACTTTTATCGACAACTTTAATTCAAATTAAAATTACTAAATTTCCGGGAAGTAATATTTTTGCCCATGAAATTAAAAAACTTATATTTTTGAATTTTTTATTTCTCTATGAAAAAATATATTATCACACAATTTAGAACTTAAATTCAAATATGTTAGTAATTCTTTTTTTAATAATTAACAATTAGGACAATTTTTTTGAGTCAAATAATCTTTTTTATTTTATGACAATTTAAAGTTATTATTAGGAAAAAATGATTTTGCTTTTTCTTCAACTTCACACATCTATAAAATCAAAGTGGTATGATAAACTTCAAAAAAATTTTTCATAAGTTTAAAAAATAAAAAGTCCAAAAAATTATATTTTAAAAGTTAGATTTTAAAGCCCATTCTCCTAAAAGTGATATTAACTGCTTATCTACACATCTTTATTGGAAGACTCGGATTCCAAATGAATAATAATATAACTTATGAACTGTATACACCTATTGGTTTGATTATCGAATCGTCAGATGAGACAAGCTCTTTCTCTAAGACCGGGAAAAATGATACATCATTGCTACCTATAATATCTATGCTGACAACATTTTTTTTAATCTTAAATTCTTCTTCAAGATACATGTCAATTTTTTTTTTAAATTACGACGCTTTTTCCAAAGATAATTTTTCCTTTGATATTAAAAAAGTCAAAGTCTCGCAAAATTCAATAGTTTTAGGCGCATAATAAAATTTGATATAACAGAGTACATTGCATTGCTATAAAGAGGTTTGTAGTAGGGGAGACCAGGGCAAGATGAAAAATGTCAATAAGCTTCAGTTTTTCACAGGTGGCAGAACTAATCGGACACTACTAACTCTCCTATAGGCTTTTTATTAAAAATAGTATACAGGCACTGAAATCGCCATTTTTTTATTAGTTGTGAAGCTTTGATTGTTTACTGCTGACACGTTATACCTTTTAAGCATGCGGAAATAAGCTCTGCTGCCGAAACAAGTTGATAGTATTAGAATTAAGTCGTTCATATTTTGAACTTACTTAATTCTAATACTATGTATTACCATGAATAAATGTTAATTAATTGCCTTCCTTCATGGCAATAAAAACGAATATTTGAAAACAGCCAGAACGGGGCAAGATGACGAGCATGTGTTTAGTAAAAATGACTTAGCTGCTGCAAAAACCAACCATGATGTTGTTGGTGATGAAACTGAGAATAATAGTGCTAATTTTCAGACCCTTACTGTAGAAAAAAAAATTATAAACCATCCAGAAGAACCAAAACTTATTGCAAATGCTAAATCCGATGGGCCAAAAAAGCCTATCGGTAATTTTGATTTAAAACCATTGCCTAAAGCAAAACGATAGCTGCAAAACTTATCATTTGTTAAACAATGTAACATAATAGAAAAAAAAAGTGTGTTCAACTTTTTTTTTTAGTGTTGCCATCTTGTCCCAAGGTCAAAATCATCTTGCCCCGGTACTGGGGCCAGATAAAAATTTGATATGATTGTGGAAAAATGAAATTATCCTTTATTTCTTTCATTTAAATAATTAAATCGTAATATATTTAATGCCACAAATGGTTAATCTAACAGTTCATGTAAAATTAATTTTAATGTCCTTAAAAATAAAGTTATAAACAACTTAAATTGTTAACGTAGTCATCTTGCCCCGGTCTCCCCTACAATACATAATTTCATTACTAAGAATAATTATTTTGTACCAGGAGATTTAAAATACGTAATAGCTTTACATTTTATATTAAAAGATGAGAAATTAACGTATTTGACTTACTACTCAATAAATAAATATGATCAAGAAAAAAAACTTATTAAAATTACCAAGTGAAATTGTTATTAAAAAAAAAATGTATTAAGTTAAATCCTATAAATTCAATTTTTGTATTCCAACTCGTTCAAATAATCGCTTGCTATTCCGGCCCTACCGTCAACAGCTTTATGAACTTCAGTATAATTTGAGTTAATTTGCAAACCCTGCCATGTTCGTCTCAGCAAAAAATCACTGGCATTGGTTATATTGTGTGCAACTAGCTTATTGTTTTCGTTTATTAATGCTATTTCATTTGAACTATCAAAGTTATTTTCTATTTTATTAACACCACTTCGAAGCTGTCCAGTAATTAAGGAATATTCTGGTTCAACAAAACCATCATCATCTTTAATATCTAAGTATGAAAGTCCTCCCTCAAGTAGTTCACAAAAATCTGTTAAATACTCGCCATTCCATTCTCGACTATTTAAGCATGCGATTTCGAGTTCAAATGGAGTGATTATTGGTTTGAAATATTCTTTAGAATCGATAAGGCTGTTTTCAGGGCAAGCAACAAGCACAAAAATGTCAATTTCCATAAAATTTGCCATCTTCGCCACATTTAGTTTACCCATAATAAACGTGTAATACTTTTTTCCTGCATGCTTTAAAACTTTTTTAAGACGCTGAACAATTTCTTTATATTTTTCAATACCTAGAGTTCCCATAACGATTCCAACAATTTGAGCATCTTTGGCCTTTTGAATGAGATAAAACCTTTTCATGAGTGATTTGTTTATGTTTACTTGTTGTAAAGTGAGCGATAATAAACTTGGATTGTACACATAAAATTGGTTTTTGTTAAACCTCATCATTAAATTACGTAAAGTAAGACCCTCTTCACCAATGAATAGAATTTTATAAACCAATAAATCAAACTTTAAGTTAAATTGACGACCAAGAAAAGTGAATGAGTTAAGGCAGGCTGGAGATGCACTTTCACTTTTTTTTTTGTATATAACTAGGTGAGCAATATCAATTGTTTGCTCAAATTTTTTTAACAAATCTTTTATTACTTCAACATAATGGTAATATTTAACATCATATAACAAAAGCACTTTGTTTTCAGTAAACAATTTATTTGTACATAAAGAAAAATCATCAAGATTCAATTTTGACCTTCCAAACACATAAAAAGTTGGAGTTTTCTCTGTGACACTTAAACATGAATGCCCATAGTGAATTATAGCATCCGCTTGTATATGAGAAGCAGCAACTTCGTCAACGCAACAATTGCCATAAGAGGTATCAGCAAGTACATAGAATTTGTTGGATGTTACCTCTTCTTTGTTGGATGTTACCTCTTCTTTGTTGGATGTTATCTTTTCTTTGTTGGATGTTACCTCTTCTTTGTTAAATGTTAGCTCCTCTATTTTACTTACAATAAACTTTGCATATTTAAGCAACTCATCAGGAAACTGTAGTGCTACTCTTTTGAAATTTCCATCCTTGATAAATTGGACTGATTCATATATTTCAAAATAAGAAACAGGATCGTCTATATCTACAGTTGAAACTTGGGTTGTTTGCTCGAAAATTTTTGAATCATCTGGACTAAAAGCTACTTTTAATTCAGCCATCTTAAATACTTTTTAACATTATGAAATCTAAAATCAAATATTTAATTTCTAATTTAAATTTTATAATATATGTGTGTATCTATCTATATCCATTTATTTAGCTGTCTATCTATCTATTGTAACATTTTATAAGTTCATATATGTCAAAAATTGAACAAAACTTTGAATAAAAAATAAATTATAAGTATAAATTGCAAATAAAAAATATTATTATAAACAATCTTCAAAACAAAACAATCATATTTAGTGCTTAATAACTCAATAATTTTTGTAAACTTTATTAGGCCAGGCATATTTGAGTAATAGTCTCAAATAGATAAGAACAGTAAAAGACATTATTTTATAAGATATTTAAAGTTCCCTATGAAAAATCTACTTATTTTTCTTACGTTAAATGTCATTCAGTACTTGGATTTTTTATACTATAGGAGAAAAAAGTATAAACAAGTGTATGTAAATTAGTACATTAACTTATATTTAAAAAGTGCAAAAATAAGTTCAATTTTTTTTTTCTTAAATAGTACGTTCAAACAAAGTAAAACTCACTAAAAAATTATTCATTTGATTTTAAATAAAAAAAAATAGTTCAATTGACTTTAATAGAAATTTTAATGGAATTTTTAAAAGAAAAAACGTTAATAGAAAAATCAGGGTTTTTTATTTAGATACCAGTCAATTTTTATGAGAAATTTAATTATTTTTGCCAATTAAAATGTATACAACAATCAGTAAATTAAATGACCAGCAGATTTATCAAAAATAAATAATAAATTTTAAACCAATAAATAATTTTAAATCTAAATAATTTTAATTTTAACAAGTAAAAATTATTTTTGATCATGACGATTAAAATAATAGTTGTGTAAAAAAAAAAAAATTATTACTAAAATAGCAGTGGGTTGCTCTATATCAAATCACCAAATGGTCCCCAGGGTAAAACCTCAGATTTGCTTTAAATTTTGATCACCCACAGATTTTATGAAAAAAATACAACCCTGAAAATTTCAGTTTGATTGGCTAAACTGTTCAAATGTTATGATCAAATCGATATTGACCGAAATTGGAAAAACTTGAGCTTATAGCAGGTTTTTTTTGATTTTTGACAGACCATAATTTTTTTTAATAAAATAGGTTATTACCTGAAATTTTGTACAGTAATAATTTTTCTCCTAAATAATATACTTTTTTCAAGTATTTTTTACTAATTCTAAACAGTTTTTGAGTTATCGTACACCATAATCGCAAAAAATTGTTATACAAAAATTTTTGGAAAACTTAATGTGCTACAGTTCAGCCACTACAGATAGGCAGTGCCAGTGATGGATCCAGCATCATTTGCTCAATATATCTGGAAGTTAGCTATCTCAAACACCAAAAAATTGCTGGATCTGTCACTGGGCAGTGCATATTTTTGTATACTGTTACTTTTGTATACTTAGGGTAACCACCTGTGGTAAAAAGCAAAATTATGCATTAAAAGTTAGGTTAGCAACCTGTTAAAGTAGCACTTTTTTTGAAAATTATGATAAATTACATTCGCTTTGAAGGCATAAAAAAAAGAGTAAACAGTTAAAATAAACTTTGAAACTTTTTATTGTAGAAGTTCTATATATAGGCAATCACTTAAAAAATTTAAAAACCTATACTCTATCATATGAAATAATTATAGCCCTATGGTCTAGGTGTATATTTTATTTACTTTTTCCTGAATAAAATGAATCCTAAGTTAAAAAATGAAAATAGGATACTTGCAAAATCTGAAACTAAAAAAATGTAACCTTTTAAAGATTGTTAAACAGAAAGTCATTGAATTTTATGAAACTGAAAAGTTCACAAGACAATGTCCAGGAAAAAAGATTTTGTTACTGTGCTTTATACGGACAGTAAAAATTCATAAGATAAAAAAATTAATATTACTTAGTTTAAAGAAACTTCATCTGGAGTTTCTAAATACAAAGTTGAATTCAGTGTTGCATCACAGTGACAGTAGTCACTCAGTTTTTGAATGTTGTTATTATCAAAATGTTGAGTTGATTTGCTTTGCTTATTTGCATTTTTTGCATTTAATATAATGGCCCTTAAGTAAAGCAGTGTTTTAATATAGATAGCCGAATCTGCATATTTTATGTATATATTGTGGCTGTCCTGTTAACTAAATTTGAAGATTTACTTAGAAAATGTGTTTGAAAAAGAATAATTTTGATTTTGACGATCCGATCACACACATACAATGGGTATCAACTGACCAAACTAAACTTGTCACAGTCCTTGTCCAAACTGAACTTGTCACAGTCCTTGTCCTAACTGAACTTGTCACAGTCCTTGTCCAAACTGAACTTGTCACAGTCCTTGTCCAAACTGAACTTGTCACAGTCCTTGTCCAAACTGAACTTGTCACAGTCCTTGTCCAAACTGAACTTGTCACAGTCCTTGTCCAAACAGAGCTTGTCACAGTCCTTGTCCAAACTGAACTTGTCACAGTCCTTGTCCAAACTGAACTTGTCACAGTCCTTGTCCAAACTGAACTTGTCACAGTCCTTGTCCAAACTGAGCTTGTCACAGTCCTTGTCCAAACTGAACTTGTCACAGTCCTTGTCCAAACTGAACTTGTCACAGTCCAAGCAATTATTATTAAGTTTATTGAAACTCTTAGTTAATTTTAGTATGATCTTTGTCACCACCACATCTTTGTCACCACTACATCTTTGTCACCACCACATCTTTGTCACCACCACAACTTTTTCACCACCACATCTTTGTCACCACCACATCTTTTTTGCCACCACTTTATCAAAGAAGCACAATCTTTCTAATTCTCAGAGGCAAAAATCACATTAAAGTCTTCATTTTATGGATTTTCTTGTGTAAAATGCTGTACAAGGGTTTTACTAGCAAGCTGATCAAGCTACCTTACATCCATTTGCTGTCTATTGCAACAATCAAAAAGATCAACTCAAATGTGAATGCTATTGTATAATTTCTGACCATTTTTGCCATAAAAAAACAACAATTTACTGTTTTCTCACAGTTACTCCCTATGGTCAAAATTAAACTACCTACAATCAATAAAATGAAATACTTCAGTGATTTTGCTGCGCCACAGTATAAAAATAACAAATATCTATCAAACCTAATGTACCACCTTGAAGATCACAATATAAATGCTGAGCATCACTTTATTACTACGTTCCATGGCAAAAGTTAAATAGTAGAATAGGAGGAACTATATAAAGAGAAGCAGTAAAAGCAAGTCTACCAGCAACAATTACAAATCAGAATCTCACACCACACAAATTGATTATATGGGTGTTAGCATATTTTATCAAGTGATAATATTTATAACCATAAACCTTATTTTAACCTCCATAAATGATATATGAAGATATGAGCACAGTCCCAAGCATGGCAGTTTTGTAACAAGTAGAGAGAAATTATTTTTAGAGAATCTCCTGTTTATGAAACCTATTTGCTGAATAATGTTAACTTGAGAGACCCTTAAAATTTTAAACCCAGTAAAAAATATTGCATATCTTTAAAATGATGAACAGTACATAAGATTTATGCTTTAGATTTGTAATGGAAACCATTTTAATGAGAAGTTCATTGCATAGAAAAATCAGTTTTGTCTATTTGACAAAGTAACATCTCAAATTAGTGCTCCATCTATTAAGGGTAGAAGTGCTTGTGACTACAATCTTGCTAATAATATTTATGAAGCTATTGTGAGTTATTTAAATCAGAGATAATGAATTTAGTGTACTTATGTTTCATGTGTATATACACTTTTTCTTTAAGCATTTTTTTATATTTTAACTTTTTTGCAATATATAACTTGCGCTAATTTTTAGGTCTCCTTTTTAACTAAAAAAGCATAACATTCAAAAAGCTAAAATTATATCATAAGATAGAATATAGGTCTTTAAATTTTCTTTTGGTGATTGTTCATATATTACAAGAACTATTACAAAAAAAAGTTTCATAATTTATTTCAATTGTTTATGCTATTTTCTATGCCTGCAAATATATATTTCAAAAAAAAAGGTGATACTTTAACAAGCTGCTGCAAGTGTTTAACTAACTTTTAATGCATAATTTTGCTTTTTACCACAGGTGGTTACCCTAAGTACACAAAAGTAACAAAAAATTTGCACTGCCTATCTGTAGGTATTGAACTGTAGCACATTAAATTTTTTTGATAATTTGCAATTTTGAGTGACTATGGGGTACAATAACTTAAAAACTGTTTAAAAATCAGTCAAAAACACCTGCAAAAACATTAATTGGGTGAAAAACTATTACTGTATAAAATTTCAGGTAATCAACCATTTCATGTAAATGGTCTGTCAAAAATCAAAAAAATCTACTGTAAGCTCTAGATACTCAAACTTTTCCAATTATGATCAATATTGATTCGATTATAACTTTTGAATGGTTTAGCCAATCAAGCTGAATTTTTCAGGAAAATCTGTGGGTGGTTAAAATGGTGGTTGAAGCAAAGTTGAAGTGGTACTCAGGGGCACTTTTAAAAACTAGGTTATTCATAACCCCAGTATAAAAACCTTAAATAGGTAAAATGCAGGGTAATATAGGGAGTGAACATACATTGACTAACCATGTATTATATTTTTAATTCTAATTCAATCCCAACAAGGCTGTAAAGTTTCGCTTCTAAGTTGGAAGTTATTAGAAAACAAAGAATAGAGTTAAAGAGCAAGGAAACAGTTGACAGAAGACTTGGAAAGTTGCAAGTTTACGAGTCAGGAAAGCATTAAGATGGGAGAGAGTTCCAAAGGATTGAAGACAAAAAGAAGAGGGCTCAGTGAGATTGTTTCCACTCATCAATATGGAATGTTAACCTTATTGCGATATTTGTTTGTAGTAAACCACTGAGTAATCAAGAAAAGTGTTGGGCTTAGAGAATGACTTTAATAAAGATGTTAGAAAGAAATGATTTAATAATCTCAAAAACTTTCCCAGATACACCATATAAAACAAGCTTATGGGAAAACTTATGCCAAACTTTGTTGAAAGCTTTAGAT